ATAATGGTGGAGCTTTAAAAGCAGTACACTTTCAAAGAAAGTCTTTCTTAAATTTAGAAATTTATTTTTTATTTATTTAGTTGCTGTCATTGTCCTTGTTGTGTAACATTATATTACGTTAAGCAGTTTTTTTTGGGGGGGGAAGATTAAGTATTATTAGATTTTTAGTTTTTGATTTTGCTTTTACATGGGGTAATATTTTAACAGATGCATTTCAAACAAATGAGCTATGTGTGTAACATGCTTCTGTGTATATTTGTAATATTTTGTAATTTGTAATTGTGTACTGTTGAAAAAAAAAATAAAAATCAGGATTTTTTTTCCAATAAAAGTTTTTGATTATTGCCTTACTGCTTTTAAAAATCACTTTGGTCTTGGTTTGCGAAAGTGAACGCTGGCACGTGTTAGCTGCCGCTGCTTCAGGAGGATATCACTGTTTTAGGATTTTATTGTGTTTTATGACTAAGATTTTACTGAGTTTTACTGTCAGAAATGCGTAATACTAACTAGACTCTGCCTACCTGGTTTTGATAATGCATTTAAACTCCTGGAGTTGCTTGACTGTCTTGGGGAGTTTCTTTTGGGAGTGGGAAAATGAGGACTAATAAGCTGCCAATTTGGATCACATTTGCCTGGATCCTTTTCTCTGTTTTTCGTTCTATGGTTTTAATTCAACAACATACGGCGGTTGAACTGTTTCAGCTCAATTTTCATCTTTATGAGCCTCCTCATACTCTGCAGTTTCATCAGGACATCGCTTACCAGCCACGACACCGATATATACACCGGGGGTCTCGACGAAGCTATAAAACTGGCTCTTCAGGTACAATATCAACCCTGAGGTCTTCCAGTCATCGTCCTACAAAGAAACATCCACGGGCTGTGGACCACAGCATGCTAACCAAGTTAGTAAGATCGGTCAGCACAAATACTGGTAAGAATTATCTTACTTTTGGACTATGGAACATTTGATCATTGTCCAACAAGGGTCCTATTGTTTATGACTTGCTCTCGGACCTTAAGTTTGATTTTTTCTGTCTGACTTGGCAACAAAGTAATGACTTTAACCAACTTAATCATTCTATTCCCCCAAGGTATGCTTACACTTGTAAGCCCCGTGTATCTGGTCGTGGAGGAGGTCTAGCAATATTATACAATGAGAAGTGGAAATTCTCAGATATATCTCTGCCAGAATATACTTAATTTGAGTCAACTGCTCTGCAAATTAATGGTCAACTCCTACGATTCTTGCTACTGTATCTGTCACGGTCTGCCTACTGTGTAGGAACGAAGAGCGCAGAGACGACTGGTTAACACAAGGTTAACACAAGGAACAATCTTTATATATCCAAATAAAGACTTACAGGAAGGCACGCACACGTAGAACATAGGTTTGACGTATAACACTGGACGCAGGACTCAGGAAAACACAGGGCTTAAATATCTGGAACCAAACGAGGGAATTAACGAGAAACACCTGGAATCAATAAACACAATCAAACACAGGAGAAACTGGGTCATGGGGAGCAAAACACAAGACATGAGCACAGGGGCAGTCCAAGGGCATGACAACATCGTCCTCCTAAGGCTAGTTCTGCTTTTTTACCTGAACTTTTTGCTCCTTTAACGTATCTTTGTTCATTGTCTCCTAATGTGATTTTGCTTGTGGATTTTGGTATTCATATTGACAATATTGGTAGTGTATGTACGAGGGATTTTTTATCATGTCTGGACAGTTATGTTTAAACAAGTTATAAATTCTCCTACTCACTCAAAAGGTAATACGCTGGATCTGGTGCGTTGCTCAGGTGTAATTCCTCATAATTGCAGTATCTCTGATGTGTCTTTATCAGACCATATGCTGGTGTCTTTTAATCCTCAATTACCTGTATTCAGGTTTAATCTCTGTTGTACCATTACATTTTGGAACATAAAGAACATTGATGTTTCAGCTTTTGCTGAAGGAAATGCCACCCTTTTTAGCAATGGTCATCTTTCTATTCCAGATTAACTGTTTTTTTATTTCAACTCTGGACTCCAAACAATCCTAGATGCTCATGCGCCATTGAGAACCAGGACTGTTTTGTTTGTTAATTCTGCACCGTGGTTCACTCCTGAGCTACGACAGTTAAAAGTCAAGGGCGTTGTCTGGAGCGTTTGTATGTCAGGACTGGACTTCTGATACATAAAGAACTGTATTCTGAGCATATGCGTAACTATAAGGTAGCTCTTTCTACAGCTAAAACTGATTATTATGCCTGTTTAATGGGAACACAAAAATGCTTTATTCTGTGGTAAAGAATATTCTAAAGCCACCAGACGCTTTTCCTTCTCGTTTGTATTCTGTTGATCTCTGTGAAGCTATTATGTCTTTTTTTTGTTAGAAAAACTGATGATATTTATCAGAAAATTTCTGCATCAAGTTCAGGTTGTTTTGCGGTGAATATTTGTTTTGACCTACCTCTAATCTCTACTCTTTCTACTTTTAAACTTCCGAGCACAGAGGAAGTGGTACGTTGTATTTACAAATCTAAATCTACTTTTGGATCCTATTCCAACGCATTTGGTTAAAGCCTGTTTATCTTCTCTCTCTTCTTTAATTACTAATATCATACACTCTTCGCTTGTTTCTGGTATTGTTCCATCTGTACTCAAAACTGCTGTGATAACTCCTATACCTAAGAAGCCGGGGACTGATTAAAGTAACTTTGATAATTTATGCACCATCTCAATCTACCGTTTCTCTCAAAAATATTGGAAAAGGTTGTTGCTGCACAGGTTCAGGCTCATCTTTCGGATAATAGCTTATATGAGCAATTCCAATCGGGTTTCTGTCCACATCATGGTGTTGAGACTGCAGTAGTTAAGAAGTCTACTGCTGATTCAGGACTTCTATGTATACTTATCTTGTTAGATCTGAGTGCAGCATTTGACACTATTTCGCACAGTATTTTGTTGGGCAGATTGGAGTCTATTGGAATTATGGGTACTGCTCTGGTTTTCGTTTTTTTGAAAGCCTTAACTTTAGAGGATTTGTTGTGGAGAGAAACTAATAACTGTGTTTATAATGTTTGTAAACATTTTGCTTTAGCCTACCAGCATTTGAGCCTACATTATTTCTGAATGTAATAGGGCTAATAAAATGTGACGTGAGCCTATACGTGACTGTTTTTTTTGGTAACACTTTAGAATAGGGAACTCTTATTCACTATTAACTACGAATTTTCCCTAAATAAATTCCTAATTACTGTTTATTAATAGTTAGTAAGGTAGTTGTTAGGTTTAGGTATTGGGTAGGATTAGGGATGTAGAATAAGGTCATGTAGAATAAGGCATTAATATGTGCTTAATTACTACTAATAAATGGCTAATATTCTAGTAATATGCATGCTGATAAGAAACTAGTTAAGAGACCCTAAAATAAAGTTACCGGTTTTTTTTTTCACTCTCAAAACCCAATCTTATACAAGTAGCATTTTTTTTAAATATCTTAAAAATACTTTAATGTCTTTAAAGTGTTGATAGATTTTTTTTCCAAATTTGGCCAAAATCTAGAAAAGATGATGCTGTATTGGCTGTGACTAAGCGCAGCGGGTTAAGATAGGCTACCAGATCTCTTCCTGCTTTTTTTTTTCTTTTTCTTTTTGAGTAAAGAAAACACAGTACTTTATTATTATTATTATTAATAGACCAATTATAGGCAAAGAAAAAAATAACATTATTAACCGGTATTTCTTCTACCCAAACCGGTTTTGGAACGGTAATTAAACAGAGGAACGCAGGAACAGAAACGTTAAAATATCGAATCTGCTCGGAGTGAACCGATTGAATTTCTTTTTTTTTTTTCGTTTTCAAGCCCTGCATAACACTAAAGTGCTTAAATGATTAACATGTTATATATGCGCAGAAACTGATGATAAAATCTACTTTTAAACAGAAAGAGTACCACAAAGTGAAATTTTTATGTTTCCAGTGTCTACATTATAATCTGTTCATATTAATGTTTAGATTTTTAATGTCCCACGTGGCGTGGCAGTATCTGTAGGCTACTGAATTTTAACTTTGTGAAGAGCGCTAAAGTTAGTTTTAGGTTCGATATTCGTCAGATAGGCTGATCTTTCCCCTGCCCTTGTTCTAAAGAGTTTATAGTCTTACAACGATATCAATACCACAATTAGTTTTAACAATATGCAACTATTATATATCGACATGATACATTCAATCAAAACGTTTAAAGCGTTATAACTGCCACATGACGCCTAAGGGACCGTCTGACAGTTCCACCAATTACATTAACACGTCGAAGTATTAGCCTAATTAAAATGACTTTTAACATACACAACAAATCTTAAAACACACAAGTGCAATACTCAAATACTTTACCTCAGTTAAATCTCTTTCTACAAGTACAATACTCAATTAGATTAAAAAAAACACTGTAAATTACTAATAGTTTTTTGGTTGTTTGTTTGTTTTTTCCCCACATTTCAAATGTTGTAGCTCACATTCTGGCCTCTATAAACATCAGTCATTTGAATTACTTGCAGACGGTCCCTTAAACAACATAAGCGATTATCCAGCAAATATCGAACCTAAAACTAACTGTATCACGCTATTTAACCGACTATAACAAATGTGATCTGCCAAAGATAAATCTCAAAAGACAAACAGCATTACAAATAAAAGCAGAGCAGCTTGTATCGGTGCGCATCCATTCCACTCACAGATCACGAGACATTCAGTAACAACGAAAACATCAAAAATCCAAACAACCAAACACACAAAAACACAAAATCGCTCAGGTCTGAATGAACTTAACGTGTTCCTCACACGCTTGCTGCCTGCTCTTCTAAGTGTTTATTTAAGTCAGCAAACACACAAACAGCGCTGTACCCGGTGAAAATAAAGCAGAAACGACCGCATATATTGTTGCATAAACAAATCGTGTAAAGTGTATTTTTCAGTTGTTTTAAATGTGTGAAATACCGTGAACTGCTCACCTCTCCTCAGAAGACTTGTGTCTTCTGCCGCTTCTCTGAGAAATCACTCTCTAAGTCTTGAGGTTTTGACGCCAGAAGAGAGACTTTTATTATCAGAGACAATGAGCCCGAGAAACTCTGAGAGTCTGTGTCTGCTCTGAACACCCTTTCATTACAGTTTTTCCTCCAGGCGTGTTCTATACATTTCACAGTCGCAGCGGACAGGAAGCCTCGTGACTAAAGAGGCCCCATCATATACACATATGTCTCACATTCCTTTCTCTTGCAGGCTTCTATACTCACAGGCTAACACATGCTTATGATTACCACGGTCATGGAAAAAAGTCTAAATCTGTTGTTAAATGTGAGACCGAGAGTGAAAAACACAGGAGCTCTGTATGAGAAAGAAGGTCTTCTGTACTGATAAAAGCTGTCCACGGATCTCGACTCTCAACAGTAGGAGAGGTATCTTTTCAGACTAGTTCTAACCGGCCATTCTCTTCATCCTCCCTTAGAAAGTGTGCATCTGACCAATAAACTGAAGAGGAGATGTGAAGCAATCTGTCCGTGTGTCTCGTTCTTCTCGTGTTGGTTTGCATGAAGAGGATCTGAAGCAGAACGGAGTGAAAAACAGAGTAAAGTTTGTGAAAAAAGATGAACTCAAGAATGATTATTCTTACACTAATCTTAGCCCAGATCTATATTACAGACATTTTTTTTTTTTAATGCATTTGTTCCAGTAAATTTGCTTATCCCTCAAATGTGATTAAACAGCATTTGATCCGAGCTCTACAATCTGGATTTGGTCATTATTTAAAGGAAAGGTGAAATGTTTTGTAAGTAATTCAGTGCTGAATTGTGTTTCTGCTGTTTCTAATATTTCCAGCAAGAAAACAATCCTGTACCGTCTGTGGCCTTTACTGCTTCTTCATGTTTCAGCACAACGTCAGACGCTGTTTGATTAATAAACCTTTGCTTTTTAAATTCACAACACACAATATTGTTCAAAAGTTTGGGATCAGTACGATTTGTAATGTTTTTTTTTTCTTCTGCTCTTTAAGACTGCATTTATTCAACACATTAAAACAGTGTTATTGTGAAATATGTTTACAACATAAAATAATGTTTTTCTATTTTATTTTAATATACTAGAAAATATTATTTATTCCTGTAATTCAGCATCAGTACTCCAGTCTTCAGAGTCACAGGATCTTCAGAAATCATCATGTCCACAATCGCTGGCCTGATTTGGTCATTATTTAAAGGAAAGGTGAAATGTTTTGTAAGTAATTCAGTGCTGAATTGTGTTTCCAGCAAGAAAACAATCCTGTACCGTCTGTGGCCTTTACTGCTTCTTCATGTTTCAGCACAACGTCAGACGCTGTTTGATTAATAAACCTTTGCTTTTTAAATTCACAACACACAATATTGTTCAAAAGTTTGGGATCAGTACGATTTGTAATGTTTTTTTTTTCTTCTGCTCTTTAAGACTGCATTTATTCAACACATTAAAAACAGTGTTATTGTGAAATATGTTTACAACATAAAATAATGTTTTTCTATTTTATTTTAATATACTAGAAAATATAATTTATTCCTGTGATTCAGCATCAGTACTCCAGTCTTCAGAGTCACAGGATCTTCAGAAATCATCATGCTGGTTTATTATCAATGCTGGAAACATTGCATGCATATACAAAATGCATTATTATTACGTTTCGCTTAAATGTATTTTCAGCATCAGTCTTCAGTGTCACATGATCTTCAGAAATCAGCATGCTGAGTTATTATCAGTGCTGGAAACATTGATGCAGGAGACGTGCTGATTGGTTCCCTCTGCTGTCAATCATTCGAGAGGGGCGGGTTGAAAATCAGATTTTAAACCAGATTTAGTTCAACGAACAATGCAACATTTGCTCAGACTTGCTTAAAAAAAAAAAAACTATAATCTTTTGACATACCTGTTGGTAGATTTTATCTGAATCTTCATTTTGAACTATTTGAATTGAGCTCAAGAATGACACTATATCGTCTTCTGCTGATCTGCTATAGAGTTGAAAATTAAAGCAAATATAACATTAAAATATGAGCAATTATTTGTTTCCTGTTTATAACTGTGACACTGCTTTGAAACATTCTGTATTATATAGTGATATGGAAATAAATATGACTTAAGCTGACAAAGTATATTTCATTTTAACATTCACTTCACTGAAATAATTTGGTAAGTGTCAATTAGCCAGACAATAAGAATCTTAAAATGGCCTCCGATTGATCAGGTAAGATTATCCATCAGTAATCTGTATTAAATATTAGTATACAATTCAACTAACTATGAATCACTGCTGTACTGATATTCAGATCAGCAGTCTCTTACTCCTGTGATTAAATGCTGAAACATGATGAAAGCAGGAAGATACAGACCTACAGGAGTAACGATTACTGATTATCGATCGCTAAGATCCTCAGAGAGGAAGAAGTTATTCTACTATTATAATCATGTATTTGTCTGTGTGTTTGGAGGCCTGCAGAGAAAGGACTGTGCAGAGATTACAGGAGTGCAGTATATGGTGAAGCTGCACAGACTATTTGGACATTAGACAAAATATACGATGAGGCCTCCTCGTTTCACTTAACATTAATTGAGGCCTCCTGTCTACTTCCTAAAAGCAGACTGGAGGCACAGCCAAAAAAAGATAAGAGTTGATAAACAACAACGACAATGTATGAAATGTATTGAACACACCTTGAGGAACAACTGTATAAAGAATGTGCAGACACAAACTCTAGAGATGCGTTATCTCTGATAATAAAGTCTGGCATCAAAACCTGAAGACTTCGAGAGTGATTTCTCACAGAAGCGACAGAAGCCACCACAATAGAAGAATGGGAAGAGTGTGTGAGTGAAGGTGGCTGTGAATGTGTGGAGATGTGTGTTAGTTACTTTGTAAGAATACAAATAGTTAACAATAAACATGTTTAAATTGTATAATGTACACCAAAGATTTTTTTTTCAAGATGTTGCTTTTGCTGCTAAATTATTCAGTCAGCTAGTTTAATTTCATAGCTTATATATTTTTATTCAAATGTAGTTTTTCTCTGTAATGAGGAAGTGAGTATTTAGTGGATTGTGTTTAACAAAGGGTTTAAAAGAGTGACCATTAGTTCCACAAACACAGTACTGCTATTCTGTAGTGGTGTAGGAAAAAAATAGCGCTGGTGTTGGATCGGTATTGGCCAATTCTTGGAATTTGGAATACTCTACATAATCTTACACTGCAAAATAATAACTCAAAAATATTAAAAGATAACATCTTAATTATTTACTGAACCCTTAAATTAAGGTACTTGAAGCTGCTCACCCTCTCCACTGGGGTCCCACTGATCATAAGAGGAGTATAGGGCCGCTGCTGTCTCTTCCTGAAGTCCACAATCAGCTCTTTAGTTTTACTCACATTCATAGAGAGACAATTGTCCTGGCACCATGATGTGAGTTTCTCTACCTCATCCAAGTATGCCTCATTGTTGTTGGAAATGAGGCCCAGAACCACAGTATCATAAGCAAATTTGATAATAGATGTGGAGCTGTGGGAAGACACACAGTCATGTGTGTAGAGCAGAGGACACAGCCCTGTGGAGCTCCCACGTTCAGGGTGGTGGAGTTGGTCCTCCGACACAGTGATTACATGATTATCGCTGCTCTGTCTGCAGCTTCCTGACGCGCTGATCGGCAGAGTCGCGCTGCCTTGATTGCATTCAAAGCGGCTGTAGAAAGAGTTTAACTCGTCAGCCAGCGACGGGTCTGCTCTCGCAGCTGCAGAGGATTTATTTCCAAAGGTACAGATGGTTCTCAGTCCCTGCCACATGCGTCGAGAGTCACTGAGCTGAAAATCAGACTCTATTCGTTCCCTGTATCGGAGTTTGGCGGCTCTTACCAACCATCGGAGATCATAATTAATCGTCGGCTCTTACCGTGGCTCTTACCGCCCGTCGGAGATCATAATTAATCGTCAGCCAAATTTCATAATCGTGACAGCCCTAGTCACTGGGGGCTCTCTTTGCTCTCTTTTCCTCCGCTAAGGTCTGGATCTGTTCTTCCCCCAATTGAAGCTGTATTTGAAGGACACTGCGCCACCAGTTGCTTTCAGCTGCAACATCTTCCCAGTTCTCCGTACTGATGTACAGAGCTTTCATGTCATGCTTACAGACATCTTTATAATGCAGCTGGGGACGGCCAACAAATCTCTTGCCAGAGGCAAGGTACTTTTAACCATTTAACCAACTGTTCCCTTAACTTAATGACTTTGTTGTATCCAGGCCCTGTGTGCCGTGGCGGAGCATAAGACTACAGGGAGTCAGGAGACCATGGCAGAGTAGAGCCAGGGAGTACAGAAAGTTCAGGGCTGGCCTCAATGGCCGTAACAGAGAACAAGGGAGTTCAAGGGCGACAGGGAACACACAGAGTTCAGGAATGGTCTCTGTGGCTGTAACAGAGTCGACAGAGGACACAGAGAGTTCAGAGACGGCCAAAAAAACAGTGAATTCATCACTGGGAGCACAGAGGACAAGGAAAAGCCCTCCGAGACTGCCAGTCTTGGGATGCAAGCCTTTGCGCCAGCATTTGAGGCTCGTTGGATAACAGACTTGTCTGCCCCGAGATGGATCCAGTGGCCGGGATGGTGTTGGCAGGTGTCTGTGGCAGTCCAAGCTCCACAGACGCCAGTGTTTGAGGATCATAAGACATGACAGAAACACAAACAAACAGCCAACCATCACAATCAACCACTGACAAAGCAGCAAGAGAAACACAAGAGCCATAAATACTCGGGGGCAAACAAGCTTAACGAGGTAATGAGACACACCCAAGGAAGAAAATCAACAAGAAAAACTACAAAGGCGGCCGAAAGAACAGGAAAAAGTAGTTCTGGGCAGTTTGACCAAAAAACTGCATCACAGTTTTTATTAGGATTCTGGTTTCACTGTTTATCACATTTTTTCCTTGACTGTGCCTTTATATAAAAATCCATGAAACAGTTGCAGAACCACTGTGTTTTAATCACAATCCAAACAAGCATGCTACATAAAGTATAAGCAGTTTTTGATGTAAATTAAATTGTATAATTTCAAAGTTTAAAGCAAAAACAGAATGGTCTGACCTTAGCTTTTTGAAATGATGCTACATAAAACATCTGCACGAAACAGAAACAGCAGACGGGCTGAATGAGAACACAACTTCATTCTCTGCCAGCAGGTGGCGCTTATGGAACAGCTGCAATATAACGTTTCCTTGTTTTTTTTAACGTTTCCTTGGTTACCGCTGTAAACAAAGCAGCGCTGCGCTTTTAAAAAACTACATTAATATGCATTATATCAAAGACTACAGAATACCCAAGACGTGTCACTCGTATAGTTTTGAATGGGGAAAAATGCAACGCTCAATATGGCCGCTCTATTGAATAACAGCCTTCTTGCTAATGGCTAATCGTTAAAGTCAGAGCGTCACTGCAGCTGCTGTTAGAAGTCCCGGTTTACTATAGAAACAGTCAGTGTTCTGAGATGTGAGCTTAGGACTGCGCTAGCTGGTCTAGCCTGAAAAAAATATGCTTTTTTTAATGCTATTTGAGCAAAAGAAACAACATTTATGAGACAGTTGTTATCAGATTTCATTAGTGATTTCAAATATGAAATTTAATCTTAAGCTTGGCGAACAGTTTAGGAGAATTTGATGTTTCCTCATTCAAAGAGACGGGAGCTGCACTTGCATGCCCGAGAGGTGTTTCAAAGATGGCCGCTGAGTGAAACGACTTGCCTTAAAGGGACTTTGATTTTATGGAGGTAAGACGAAAAGAAAATACTATCTAAACTTTTCTGAAGACAGTCAGTTCCCCTCAGAGATACATTCACATAAACCCCCAATTCAGTATTTAGGATTTTCTTCCAATATTTTGTGCATCGTGAACCGTGATCTTGCTCTGCCTGCTACAGTATTTTCTCCTCTTTACGTTCGTCTTCAGCGTCTCTGGCTCCTGTTAAAGGTAGGGCTGGGTATCGTTCAAACATTTTCGATATCAATACCGATACCTTGACTTCGGTTCCTGAACGATACTTTTTTTTATACCAATTTTATGAAATCAATTTTAACAAGATTACATTATCTAAAAAAAAAACTTTGGTTTTATTTTTCAGCTTGTTGATGTTTATACAAACTCAAAGACTCATCTCCTGAGCCACTGCACAAAGGAACAAAATGTAACCAACACAATAAATCAGTGCAAATAGTTTTAATAAAGCTCAAATAGTCTTCAGTTTACACATCTGTTAGGCTACATTTACACTAGTGCGTGTTCGTTTTAAAACGCATAGCTCAGACAGAATCATGATTTCTATTTATTTTCCACTGATTTACTGATGAGCATTATCAGCTTGCAGAGCTGTCTGTCTGTGTTCTCTCTTCCATGATCGCTGCTCTGACTCAGTATCATATAATAACATAATAACATTTAATTTCAGCAACATTACATGGC